GATCGCTTGAGCCCAGGAGCTTGAGGTTGCTGTGAGCTAGGCTGATGCCAAGGCACTCTAGCCCAGGCAACAAAGTGAGACTCTTTCTCAAAAAAAAAAAAAAAAAAAAAAAGTCAAATCAAACTTACATACATATTTATTATGAAAAAAGTAACTTTCAAAACTATAACAATCATTATGAAGTTATCCACTGAAAGAGAAAAATATCCTTACATATATTGTGGTTTTTTTGTTTCTAGTTCCTAACTGAACCCAACTATGAGTCTCTGATTAGTCTTCAGATTGGCATAATGGAGCAAACCATTGCTGTTATAGATAAGGTAAGTCTCAAAGAAAATGATCATTATAATCCCAAATCTGTGAATCATTTGAGCAAAGTAATAGTGCTTCAAATCATGAATTCAAACAGAGCCTAACAAAATCTTGGGCATTTACTAGAATTCATGAAGTAATTAGAAATCGCTGAATCTTTGCAACCATAACCAGTAGAATGGACTAAAGCACTTCTTTTAATATTAGAATTAACCCCTGAGGGACTGAATGTAAGTGGATTTTCTATTTCACATTAGTTTACAATTTATGTAATAGATGTGTTGATAATCTTTTCTAGGCCTTGTAAAGGCTTTATTTTATCATAACTAAATAAAAAATGCTTAGTTTTTATTATATAACATATAAAATAGAAACAAAGTAATCTCAAGCTTTTAAAATATTCTCTCATTTTTAAGAGTATAATAATTTTTTTCTAAAATGTGGTATTAAGATCCCATTCTATTTTTCAACAATTAATTTGAGTGCCTACTATGGATAGGTAGTATGTTAGGCATTAGGGATATGGTGGTAAGATGTTATCTTAATGATTATAATGTATTTAAAATATAAGAATAATGCCTTTATAAAATAAATTATTTTTTAATTAATTTTGTGGGGTGTCATGTTAACAAAATTTCAGACCCACAAAAAAAATGTGGAAAACTGCAAAAAACTACTCAAAAAACTGGGAAAGTGCAGCAATCAAAAAGATGTAGCAAATTATGGTCTAAGCTGCAATCTACGAGAAGAGTTGGTAGCTGTATCAGAGAGAAAAGACATCTGTAATGCAATGGGTAAGCATTATTTTTCTTTAATCAACTGTTTCATTAAAAGTAATCAGTATCCCTGAAATCTGTACAATAGTTATAAAGCTTCCAGCAATTTTTTCCACATGTTTAATTGATTCTGAGTACTGCTTCTGTGTTTTAAAGTATTGATAATAATCCAGCTAATCCTTTCTTCTCCATTTTTGGAATAGGGTCTAAATTGACTTGTGAAAAGATTGTCAAAGAACGATATGAAAACATGATGCAACAACAGAAGTTAACAAATATTTCAAAACAACAAGCTGAAGAGATTTCAATACTACAGGCTGAAGTAGAAAGATTACGGATGAAAACATTTCCTGCTCTTGTTAAAATGTAAAAACACGCAGGAAAACACAAGGCCAAATTAGTCATTTTAAAAATCATTTCATTTAGGTAAAGTGATTTCTTTTTCTTTCATACTGGGAAATTTAAGTAGAGTCTCTTCTTAGTTGCATATTTTTAATAGCAAATTGTTTAATTTTATCCTTGATCAGCATATAAATTTTTGTCATGCACGAATAAAAGTGTAAAATACCATGAATTGTTTTTATTCATGAATGAGCAAGATTCTAAGTCAGAAAAAAATATTCAAGATCTATGTTATTCATTTACTGTTAATTGGTTCAAAGGTATGTTCAGATTTATGGTATAGAAAATCGTATTTTTTTACTTTAATTCATTTTTAAGAGGCAAGGTCTTACTCTGTCACCTGAGCTGGAGTGCAGTGACACAATCATAACTCAATGTAACCTCAAATTCCTGGGCTCAAGCAATCCTCCTGCCTCAGCCTCCCGAGTAGCTAGGACTATAGTGCATGCCATCACATCCAACTTTTTTTACTTTTTGTAGAGTCTAGGTCTCACTGTGTTGCCTAGGCTGGTTGCCCAAAGTACTGGGATTATAGGCATGAGCCACCATGCCCAGCCTAGAAAGTCTTAAAAGATAAAAAATATTCTTAGCCACTGCTAGTATTTCTAATTTTATGGATGATGTCTTTTTGCTTTTCTATATTTGCCAGATTTTCTTCAGTAAGCATTTCTTCTATAATCAGAAAAAAGTACCAGAATATTTAAGATGATTCCCTGTTTACCAATGAGAACAAGGTAAATTATTTACCTTTTCCAAGATTTACATCATTTGTAAATCATTACATATTTTAAAAACATAATTGTCTACATTTCTTATTTATTGTAACAATTCAATTTTGTGCTCTACCCAATAGGATTTAGCAAATAACAAAAAAAGTACTTTCTCATTTCCATAAAATAGTTTATTGCTTTATTCACAGATATGATGACAATTATGTAATAATGAGAAGACTAACTGGCCAGAAAGCCGCTTTTACCCTTCCCTAGCCTGTGGACTGCTATGTCATTGGGATCACTAACCACAATCTCCAAATGATGCCAATGTCTCACTGTTCTGTAATTTATGAACTAAACACTAAGTTTAATCCACAATACTATATCTAGAATACACTAGTGTAGTAGGTAAAGCAAGAAAGCTATTATAAAATTTTCTACTTAGAAAAAAATCTTTAAAAGATTTATTGATCACCCACATAGTGATCAATGCTCGATGGGGATGATAAGGAACATGACAGGACCAGCATCATTTTGATGACTCACCTGCTTAGTGCTAGAATGATTCAAGTAGTCAGTTTGGCGGATTCAGCATGGAAATGCCCATTAGTAACATTTCTACATCCAGGGTCCTTCAAAATTATCCCTGAGACAAGAATTTGGAGGGTAGGGGGAATAGATCTGAGGGTGAGGGAGTGTTTGTGGGGTGCAAATACTTGACAAGATGGGATTGCCAGTTCTCTGTCCTGTTGGTTTGAATCAACCATAGATATACTAGATTTTTTTTTTTTCTGGTGATACAAATTCTATGTCACCTGGATTAGCTACCTGGAGACTCCATTTGCTAATAGCCAACGCCAAAAATTTCAGTAGATAATGCTATGTGGATTCTCAGGTCTTAACAAACCAAATGGCCTGTGTCATTTCTATTTGTTAGTTATCAACCCTAGGTGACACTGGCAATGTTCCTTATTTGACTGCCTCAGATTTGAGGCATGGAGAGGGTGGGGTTTGACAGGAACCTCCTGCCCTCAAGAGTATTCCAGTAGAAGCCTTTTCAACAGGAGGTAACTTCTGGTTTGGGGGATTGGCAGGTGCTTTGGAAGGGCACATGGGTCATGCAACCCAACCCCCTATTGACACTGTTCACAGTATGGCCTCTCTCAGCTTCTGTTGAACTAACAGCAATCATATCTCTATAATCTTTTACAATATTATATTATCAACTAGTGATATATTAATAATCAATCAGGTCAAACATAGCATGGCCTTAAACATAGAATTATGAATATGGGGTTCTGTTGCTTAGCTGCCTGGTTCAAGTCCTGGCTTTGCCACTTAAGTTTTAAGTAACCACTTAGTTTTAAAATAACTAATCTTAAATTTCTCATGTTTTTCATACTGGATGTTGATCACTGTAATACCCAAATGAATTAATATACTTTTAAATATGGCACAAAGCAAGTGCTATGTTAAATGTTAGCTCTCATTTTTAAAAAATAAAAATATGGCATTCAGTGGTTCCTAATAAATTCACCCCACTAAATGGAGGTGAAATTCAACAGAAGGAGCACAGAAGACTACCGCATAGTTATCACCAGACCCCAAACAGTCCCATAAGCCTCATCCCTCCCCCATGACCCACACCTCTGTGCTGTTTGGAACCTCAGCACCCAGCCAGTCCCTTGCAAAGCCCCATCACTATGCCCCAAGCTCTCCCAGAACCAGAGTCCCACTGATGCTGCAGTTCCCACACGTGGACCTGTAAGGGTTACCCCAGGGAATGTACCTATCAGCAGTGGGCTGCTACACCCTCCAAGATCTATATAGGGACCACACATTTACCTACCAGAATGCCAGCACAAGGGACAATGCTTCCTCTGCCACATTCAGGCCCCTGGCTGGCAGCAAGCAGTGATGAAGGCCAGCTGGTAGGCATGAGAAGAGCACAGTGGCGCCCATCTAGGAATTCCAGGGCCAGAGCAGGCCCATGTGAGGCCTGGGGCAGTCCTCTTGGGTTCATAAAAGCCAGTGTCTAGAAGCAGGAATTTGTGTAGGTGGGCGGGGATGAGTTTACAGGCATGGCACTTACAATTAAACTGATACAAGGGCAGAGTCCTAGGGTCTACTTTTTAAACATAACATTTGTTAATTATGGGAAGACATGGGTCTGAAAGTAGGGTGCACTTGAAGGGAGGGGTTAGAGTAGCAGCTATTTACTAACTAGTAGGGAAGTCTTTTTTTTTTTTTTTTTTTTAGCTAAATAAAGCTCTTTTCAACCCTTCAAAGGACTCAAAAGCAGAAATCCAAAAAGCCCCAGGAATGACTGGCAACTAGAATCAAGAAGCCATGGCCCCACAAAGTTCTCTCTCAATCTATCATCTCTGCCTTTCTATGCAAAAACACACAGTCCTTCCTAAGCCTGCCAGCTCTGTTACTTCCACATTTATACACAGCAGCTCCAGCCACAGAGATGGGCTTGCTTTTCAACTCAATTCCAAATTCCCAGGGACTGGCCGGCTTGAGTCCTATCTGCATATATAGCAGAGATTACAGGTACCCTCCCTCATATAACTTGGCAACAGAAACCCAACCCTGCAAAGGTGGGTTTCTGACTAAGGAGTCACCGTGAATTGGACACTGAAAGTTTCATCTATTTTACAGATGAATGTGAAGGACCTTGTGTGCCACAATACCTTGATGTGGGAGATGAGGAAATGTAGTTTTTTAAGAAACAGATGGCCATTTCACTAAATGAGGAACATGAGAAACAAATGTGAAGAGAGACAGGGAAGAATGCAATTTTGGACATGAGTTTAATTACTTGCTGGATCATCAGAGGGAAATATGTGGTAAATAGAAAAGAGCTTCATAAACTTAGCAGAGGCAGGCATTTTAGACCAGTTTAAGTTCAGACATCTACCCAACTGGACAATTTTTTAACATTTAAAACAAAACTTTTTGCCATAAAAAACAATGTATTAAAACTGGTTTCCAGAATTACCCAAATTATATTTTAAACATGATTTTTTTTTCACATTACTTTAAATGGCAAGTTTTCTTTGGCAAATCTATACAAAATACTAACTTTTCACTCAGAACTTAAGAGTTTATATTTATGTATTAAAGTGCCCTAAACTGATGTTTGGCAGGATACCATCCTCTAAGCCATAATGGTTTTATGCCTTCCCTTTAAAATGTAGAAGTGTCTTTTAATTGTCATTCTCAAAGATATTTTAAAGAAAAAAAACTATTAAACACCTATAAATTCTTCTTCACTTCTGTTATAATGTAGCAATTTATCATCTAACCCATAGTGGTCTATCAATTGAGTAAGGCTTAGTTTCTTGTTCTCTTCAGACAGAGCTGATTGCAACTCATGAAGCAATAGCTGGCTACAGCTTCTCCACTTCTTTATTAACAACTGTAACTGAAATAGGTCATTCTGAAACAGAAAACAAAACAAACATGAATGTATGTCAATAACTAGATGGTCATGCTATTTTAACTTACATAATGAAGTTGTCAAATCAGTTGATGTGCAGGGTTAAAGGCTAACATACCTGGAGATGAATAGGACTTCTACCTAGGAAAAAGTAGGATGGTCACAAGTAGAATGGTTACAATGGCACAACTGAATTCTATGGACATTTTGTTTGTTCCAAACTCTGGACCATCCTTATCCTCAGGGAAAAATCAAATCATTAAATAGGAGAAAACTAGTAAAAAAAAAAAAAATACACTTTTTCTATTACAACTGTACTTTTTAAAAATGACACCATGGTGTACCTTCCACTCAATTTTGCTGTGAACCTAAAACTACTCTTAAAAAATAACAATATTCAAATTAAAAAAATTTTTTTCAACATTCACTATCTCATAAATAAGTCATATTTAGAAAAATCCTAAAAATTCAAGAAAGCAAATGATATACACTATTCCATCATTTTTTCCAGATTGCTGGAGAAGAATGAGCCATTGCATATACATAAATTACCCAAGTAAGAAAGGTTAACTCCTTCCAAGTGCCCAAGTTCTACTTAATTCAGCCAAACTGGGTTGAAATGTTAAATCTAATATTAATATATTAATTTATATTAATATAAGTCTAATATTAATATATATGTTGCTTTCTCAAAATGCCTGAAACACTTTAATTATTTGAGGAAGACACAAGATAAAAATGCTTTTTATTGTACTCTGGCCCATTTTTAGTTTCATTCATTCACCGTCAGCTGTCACTTCTCACCTAATATTTAAAACCTCTAATATTGCTATGGGGTAGAAACTAGAGAGAAAAGCTTCAAATGCATATTAAATGAGTTGGGGCTCTCAAATAAAGATTTTATCTGGTGTTTAGAGGCTTCTTCTACTCTAAATCTATGATTTAGAGTTTAATTAAAGTGTTGGAAGTCAGGTTTCTGAATATTTGGCTTATTGTTTACTAGGCTAAAAAAAAAAACCCTTATTTTCTATTTTTGAAATTACTTTTCTGCAATTTATGTAAAAAAAAAAATTATTCTGCAATGGTCCTGACATTCTCACCTTTGATCTATACATTTTGACTAGTTTTAGCCTCCGAAGAAAGTCTTCTTTCTCCTGAATCTCCTTCACCAATTTTGCTTTTTCTTCATTTAATCCTTGTTTAGGAAGATTCTCACTCACAAGCTCATCTTGGAAAGCACTGCACAACCTATCAAGTGATTTAGATTCACATACATTGACATTCTTGAAGGTGTTTTTCACATATGTACTTTCTTCAAATTCACTGTCCATGTGTTTAAAACTTTCTTGACATTCCAAACAGTTTTCTTCTGTGGAAGATGCTGGTTTCTCTGAACAGGCCTGGTCATTTTCTTCATCCTCTACTTTAAGACGTTTTACCACATTGTAACAGGAACTAAATGAAGATCTTGTTTTCCTTAATCTTTCTCTAAGTGTTGCACTCATGGGCTATAAAGGGCACAAAACATTAAAAATGTTAATCAAGAAAAACATTCCGGGCCGGCATGGTGGCTCACGCCTGTAATCCTAGCACTCTGGGAGGCCAAGGCAGGTGGATTGCTCAAGGTCAGGAGTTCGAAACCAGCCTGAGCAACAGCGAGACCCGTCTCTACTAAAAATAGAAAGAAATTAATTGGCCAACTAATATATATAGAAAAAATTAGCCAGGCATGGTGGTGCATGCCTGTAGTCCCAGCTACTCGGGAAGCTGAGGCAGGAGGATCACTTGAGCCCAGGAGTTTGAGGTTGCTGGGAGCCAGGCTGACACACCGCACTCACTCTAGCCTGGTAGCCTGGGCAACAAAGCGAGACTCTGTCTCAAAAAAAAAAAAAAAAAGAAAAGAAAAAAGAGAAACATTCCTGATGTAAACAAAGTGACTAGAAATAAAGGCCTTACATTTCTAAGATAGACACCACTAGATGGCTTTCTGTCTCCATAAATCTAAAGTAGCCATCACAAAACACCTTTAATTTCCAGCTTCGTGAGTTTTGTTCTTTTTTACCTCAGCAAAGTCAACACCCTTCTAAAACAGTGTTGAGACACTTATCCCAGTAATCACTGTACATTTGTCCAGCATTTAATAGCACATCCCTGACACTACCCTAGGAGCTTCAGAATTAAAGATTAAGGAAAAGACCTAGATCCTGCCAACAAAAAGCTTCATAACAATATTGCACAGTTAAAACTTCTTCACTTTGGAGTATTATAATAACCTGATCTGAAAATAAATGAAATGAATTGATTCAAGATGAAAATCTGGCAGCAAGCAAGTGTGAGGAGTGTCATACACCTTATCTTAGAAGAAAAACCTAAACTTCTACTTAATGAAATATCTACTTATGCTACATATTATGTTAGTTAACAATCTTCAGTATACTTAAAACCACCACTGCCGCAATAATTAAACACAGAATGAATCCACTAGGAAAACTAAGATTTTCATACTTGTTTTCCTGAACTATTTGTATGAAGAGATGGTGGATTTGCACAGGCCTCCGGAGTCCTAGGTAAAATCACAGCTGAGTCTGATGGACTTTCCATCTTGAAAATGAAATCTTGGTTTACCTCTAAAAAAGAAAAAATAATTATAAAATGGGAATCAAATTAACCACATCTCTATACAATCCTTAATTTTTATCAAAGAATTTCTATTGATGTATAAAACATCCACAAGTAGGCCAGAAATTTCTCCTAATTTCATTTAGTTGTAATTCATTCTTGCTCTTCTTGCAGTTTTCCATTTACCTTCCCACAGAGACTAAGTTTTTTCATGACAAATTAACCGGCTAGTATCTCAAAGAAACAAGATTCTCCTTGTTTTGTTTTTAGGTATCAAAATACCTTCAATTCCGCAGTGGGGGAGGGGAGAATAACAACTTTAGATAGGAATTGATTTCGTTATGGCAGCTTCAAATTAAAGGAGATACAGCTTAAAGCTTGACTCAAAAAATATAACCAGACCTGTCAGTCAACCTAACTCTAAAAGGTGTGTGACTAAAAACTGTTAACTCTCCACGCCCGAGGCTTAGGAAACAAGCCGAGATAGAGATACGTTGACGCGCCCCAGCACCGTTTTAAGTAGCGAACAGACACTGAAAAGGAGTCGATCGCAGTAGTTTCCTCCAACAAAGGCATCAAGTTTAGCGGGTAAAACCACAGGGAGGAGTCCTCCCCGTTGCACAAAGCGCACTAGCCCGCCGGAGACTCCAGGCCTGACGGGGAGTCGAGTTCCCCCGGCAGCGGAGAGGGTCCACAGTTGTGGACTCGACGCCACAGCAGACCCCCGAAAAAGTCCAGTTCTCACACCTGCCCTCGTAAGCAGCACACTTCCCCCCTCCACCATCCCCAGCGTGGCCAGAAAGCGCGCGTAGCTGCCCCGGTAAACCGACCTGGTACCAGGGGCGGGGACGCACGGGAGGCGGAAGAGACGCGCGATTGGCCAGATTGAGTGACGCGCGCGGCTGGGCTTCGCCCGCCTCCCGAAAACTACGGGACTGCGCGCGAACGGGGGCGGGACTTGGGCACGCTGAGGGGCGACTGAGACTCGTGATTGGCAGAATTGACTGGCGCGCGCACGGCTCTGCCCTGCCCTTCGCCCGAGAGCGGCGGGATGCGCGCGCGCGGCCGCGATTTTCCTCAGGGTGTCGAGGGCGGAGCTTGTGGACAACTGAGTCATCCCGACGGGGGCGCGCTTCCGCCCGCGGCTTCCCTTCCCTTCCCTTCTTTTCCGGCTTCCTGGTTTATGTGTCTGTGAAGTGCACAGAATGTGTCCCTCGCCCGCATTCTCCCGGCTGCGGCTGGTATCTCTGCGTTCGCCCTCGCCGAGGCTGTCCTCAGGCGTGGCGCGACTGGAGACCACAAAAGAGCAGCGCTGGGTTCCAGCCTGTTGCGAATGAAACTTGTTAGAAATCTCTGCCAGTGTCTCGGCACTTTCAGTCGAGCTCATCTCTAGGCAAACGCGGCACTCCCCTCACTAGGTTTTCTGTGGTATCTACCTCAAAATTCAGGTTCCTCAGCTTCAAATCTTTTAGTCAAGTCTGAGAGAAAAATGTAGCCCAACGAAATGTATTGTGGCGCAGAACGATCACTGAAGAAGATTGTGTCCATCCAGAATCGGGATACTTGAGACAGACGCGGCCCTGGGCGAACGCCCGCGGTTCTGTCGCTGTGCAACGGCAGAGTTGACAGAGAGTTGACAGGATCGGGTGGAGCACTGGGTTTGGGGAAATTCAAACTGAGTAACTGCTGAGTCACCGGGAAGCTGCCCGTGTTCCCAGTCCTCTTATTGAATGGCCACCTTAGGCGTTAACGCTGTCCCTTAACTAGCATCTGGTGATAATGGCTTAGAAGTAGCCCAAGGAAGTTACTTGAGTCCTATACAGTCAAGTATAAATACAGAACCTGAAGACAACCTAATGGAAACATTAGGAACATAAATGTTGTCTAAGCTCAAATCCTGGCACCATATTTTATGTGCTATCTACTATAGTGTTTCTGTGCCTCAGTTTCCTCATCTGTAATCTGACGTTAGAGCTAGGTATCTAGGAAGTACTCCATAGTTATTTTACATATGCAAGTGTATTCATGCCATTCCTTAAATGATTTAAAGGAATGTGTCTCACACACTTTCATTGTTCACTTATCTCTCCCCCCAAAACCCCATATTTAAAAAAAAGAAGTCAGCTGTGAGATCACACGCAATTTAAACCATAAATAGCAGAAAACTTGGAGCCTCCACATATAATTAATATGTATTCCACGTCTGAATTTTTCAAAAATTATATAAATTAACATCAAGGAATTTACAAAGTGAAAGAGAGAACTTGTGGTTTTGTGATACAAGTGTTATTCACCTCACCCAAGTCACAGGTCTCAGTCTGCACATTTATTTCTCCCTTTACTCATCCACTGGCATCAGTTAATCTATGAAAAAAGCAGAATGATTTGTCCACAATGCAAATGATGCATGTTCTTTATACCTCAGGGCATAAGGGTGAGTTGTTTTTATGAGTCCCTAAAATCAGCTGCTCCCAAATCCTTTTATCATTACAACCTAAGCTTAGAGCTGTGTTTTTGCTGGCTGCATAAAGGAAAACATCTTGCCTTGCAAATGTTCTGACTTGCTTGTTATGTGAACCGGTATATTAAAATGGGATTGTTTGGCCAGATTTTCAAAGAACTTCAGAGCACATATTCAGAAAAACCCGTATTTCAGATACGTGCATTTGTTGACCTACATCTCTGACTCCCATGCATTATTAGGATCAAACGATCTCCCCACACATATATTTGTATTTTACTTACTCCCCTCATATAACAAATTGGAAATCCACCTTCCTTTCTTAATTTAATGTAAGACACCTGCAATATAGCCTTATATTTTTCATTGTACCTTCAGAAAACATTTCCCTGTCTTTAGTGACTGGCAATTATATTAGCCTATGGAGAGTTTGTTGTTTCTGACCTAGGACATTGTATGTTTCATATGAAACTTTTCAGGCAGGGAAAATTACCCACCCCAGTGAGCAAAGACTCCTTACCCTACCCCAGTGAGCAAAGACTCCTTACCCTACCATAGAGAATAATTTGAGCAATAGAATTCAATAATAATAGTAATTAATATCAACCTAAGTCAGATTTTCCCTGTATTTTTAAATTTCTTCACTACCCAAGGCTACTGTAGGGCACTTTGTTATTCATCAGGAAGTGGCAAAATGCTTCTTCCTTTGTTGTCTGTGATTGTTGTTTGTGGGATGATGACATAGACCTAAAATCTTTATGAGGTTTTGTTTGTTTTTTATTCTTTTTTAATGACAAGAAAAAAATAGTGAATAGTGTCTCTCTCTCCCGATTTCTCTCTCTCTGTCTATACACACACAAACACACATGCACACGTATTTTCAGCCACAATTAAAATTTTTATTTCTGTAGATTTATTTTTGAAATTCAGGACGTTAGCATTACTTTTAAAGTCAAGAATAATCTCAGGGCCGGGCGCTGTGGCTCACGCCTGTAATCCTAGCTCTTGGGAGGCCGAGGCGGGCGGATTGCTCAAGGTCAGGAGTTCGAAACCAGCCTGAGCAAGACCCCGTCTCTAGCAAAAATAGAAATAAATTAATTGACCAACTAAAAAATATATATACAAAAAATTAGCCAGGCATGGTGGCGCATGCTTGTAGTCCCAGCTACTCGGGAGGCTGAGGCAGTAGGATCGCTGAGCCCCAGAGATTGAGGTTGCTGTGAGCCAGGCTGACGCCACGGCACTCACTCTAGCCTGGGCAACAAAGTGAGACTCTGTCTCAAAAAAAAAAAAAAAAAAGAACCTAAAGGGCTCCCTTCACCTAAAGTTCCTGTCCTTTTATTCTACCAGATCTGGCATTTGGTCAACTCCATTAGACTAGAGAAGCAATAGTGTCTATGATTCACTGCTGTTATTGGGTGTGTTTCCTTTAAGAAGAATAGAGTGATTCAGGTTAGATTAAAATGGTGACGGAGGAGGTAAAAGAGGGGTTGAGGGGGGGCGGTAGTGGCATAGGAGTTACATTGTTAAAAGGTAATGGGAGTAAAAATACTGCTCAGGGCACCATCCTTCTTAGATCCTTTTGACTCAGAAATGTCACCCCTGCATTATTTGGAGAAAAAGGGCATTAGATGTCAGCAAATACTTAAGCAACAGAACATGTCTTATAATCATCTTTAACTACCTTGAAGCTTGAGAGAGAACAACCCCCGAGATAATTTCACAGTATTGAAATCTGTTTGAAGTGCCGGCAAACAAGTCAACTCAGTTTTCTACTCTTACCTCTCATTACTGTTTCAGTCTTGAGGGTATAAAAGGCTTCATCTTAGTGATGTTTTTTTGAGCGGGAAGCAAGGGTGTCTAATGGTGCCAGGAAACTAAGGAAATAAGAAACTATGGTCAAGAATAATATTGATCTTTTTGTTTCTGCTCTTTTACCCTTTGGCACACTTTGATATGTGTAGTAGATATGTGTAGTAGAAAAGACAATCTGCGGATTTATCCTAACCAGAAATTTTCTGGCCCACTTCAGGATCTGAGAACAAGATTGAAATTCAGTCCCTTTCCCAACACCCCACCAATTAGAGGAAACCGTAGGTCTCCATTCCCAAAGGCAAGGTAAAATCTCTTTGATGTCCAACACCAACCATTAGGAGCAGTATCAAACCCTCAAGTGCAGAGTCCCTGAACAGGTGATCTGCACTCCCAGCAAGGATCAATTGGAGGCATGTGATCAAATATGGGGGGAGATGGCTTAAACAAGGCACCTTTTTATTGATCCTTTCCCTTCCACCTCCAAGATTGTGCTGAATGTCCATGTCCCCAACACTGTGTCTAAATTGTACCACTTGCTAATGACAGCAACAGTACCCAGCTCTCCACCTCCATGATACCACTATGGCTACCAATATATAAAGTGTGAAATTTAATGACAACACTGGTGAGTCTCAATTGGCAAATGATATCACTCTTTCTTGACACTGAAAATATTATCTTTCTCACAGAGAGGATCTTGGAAAAGAAGCACAGACTACAAATATATTCACCCTTCCATGGACCTCCAAGATTTCACCCAGCTGTTTAGACTTGGTTAGCACAAGATTAAGACAGGGAATATTTTTCCTTCAACAATGTAAACCTTTAACTCAAACTCTTCTGAACTCTCACACCTCCCCAAATTTCTGCTTATGTGCCACTGCGGTTATTATTATATCAATCCCATATATCAAGGACCCTCATCATCTCAAGTATTTTTCACTTGATGTAAGTACCTACCTCTGAGTCAAAGTCTCCTTTTCTTACAGCTACTTTTAAACTTTTATCTTTTTTTTAATCAAGAGAAGGATTACTTGAACAAGTGTTTTCCAACACTCCTTAATACATGGGAACGATGGCTTGATTTATCTCTATTGTACCATTTACTCTCTTTCTTCCTCTCTGTTATGACTTCTATCTATGCCCTTCTGTGAATGCTGGATATTGAAAATGCAACCTCTGCGTTGCTGAAGGTCTGCTGTGAGGGGAATTCCTACCAAGTGCATGGATAACACCCACCAACAAAGATGGTCTTTCCAGACTTTGAAAGCCTGTCACTTAACAGAAAGCTGCCCACATACCAAAGAATACAGTTTTGGGTTTTGGAGGGCAGACAACTAATCACATCCACATTTGTTAAGCAAATTCTTTTGAAACTATAAATTATAACCTACACATAGGTTTAAAAAAAAAAAAAAAAAAGCAAGCATTACTAAAAGTTGGCATTGTCTGAAATGCTTTCCTAGCCTAACTCTGGGCCATTGAAATAGAGATTTTGAACCTGCACGTACAAGTTTAGGATTTTTGTTAAGCTGCCAGATCTTTAA